CCCCCCCCCCCCCCCCCCCATCGCACAACCATGCCCATTGCCTACCATGTGGGAAAAAAATCATCCTTTGCCATTCAAGTGTCAATAAAAATGATTTCACACTATTTTTCATTTGTTTACCAGGTAGTTTGCTTTACATAATCACTCTTAGAATCAGAGACATGTGTCCTGAATTACAAAATCTTACACAAGTCAGATGTAACTCGGACACCAAAATTGGACCCTAAATTTATGGAATCACCCACCTACGCTTTGCACGCGCACCCGTTCCCAAACGCAAAGAAAAGAGGACTGCGCCCACATTGAACCACGTGGATTTAGGACGTCTGACATAAATCAACTTCACACACTTGGCACACACGGCAAAAACTTGGAATCCCCACACAAAGGTTCTGGGTTCGATAGCCGCCGATGGCCACGTCAATCTTTTTCATTCAAAGACAGAAAAAACACCGAAACAGCTCGGTGTTTGTTTACCTACAAACACAACGTCCGTCTAGATTTTTAGCTGTTTCGGCAATTCAGCCGAAACAGCTCTTGTTTTCGTCAAGATTTTTTTTTTTTTTAGCTGTTTCGGTGTACACACCGAAACAGCTCTTGTTTTCGTTAAGATTTTTTTTTTTCTTTTTTTTTCTTTTTAGCTGTTTCGGTGACACACCGAAACAGCTCTTGTTTTCGTTAAGATTTTTTTTCTTTCTTTTTTTAGCTGTTTCGGTGACACACCGAAACTGCTCTTGTTTTCGTTAAGATTTTTTTTTTTCTTTTTAGCTGTTTCGGTGTACACGCCGAAACAGCTCTTGTTTTTGTTATTTTTAGTTTTTCTCTTTTTTCTTTTTCCACTTTTTTTCTCATAGGATAACACGTGTTTTCGTCCTACAAGTCACTTTTGGCTTTTTTTCAAATCCGATCGACTTCAAACCTGGCACACAGTTAGACCACCATCTGAAGATGTGCGCCGAATCATGACGTCATCATGACGTCATCACGTGTCACGTGACGTCATCCTACAAGAGCATACTTTAAGGCCCTATATCTACAGAACCGGAAGTCCGATTTGGTTCAAACTTGGTATGCAAGTATTCCGGGACGTGTTATAGACGAAAATTGCAGTGACGTCATGATGACGTCATCGTGTGATTTTATATGAATTATTCAATTTTTGGACCTTTTACTCATATCTCATAAACGGAATGTGGTAAATTCGAAATTCTTTTTGTAACAGGTTTGTTAGGTCATAGATAGATGCACACAATTTTGTAAAATGTGTGACGTCATCATGACGTCATCATAAACATGATTTTTTGATTCACATATAAGGGTATGTCCGATCGTTATGAAACTCAGTGGGTAGGTAGGTATGGATAACAGCATTCAAAATCTGAAGTGTCGTCATCATGACGTCATCATCTGATTTTTAATGAATTTTTCAAATTTTAATATTTTCTTCAAATATTGCAAAAATTATATAAAATACGGTCCGATCGACTTCAAACGTGGCACACACTTAAACAACCATCTGAAGATGTATGCCGAATCATGACGTCATCCGGACGTCATCACGTGTCACATGACATCATCCTAAAAGTGCATACTTTAAGGCCATATATCTACAGAACCGGAGGTCCAATTGGGTTCAAACTTGGTATGCAAGTATTCCGGGACGTGTTATAGACGAAAATTGCAGTGACGTCACGATGACGTCTTCATGTGATTTTATATAAATTATGCAATTTTTGGACCTTTTACTCAAATCTCATCAATGGAACATGGTAAATTCAAAATTAATTTTGTAACATGTTCGGTAGGTGAAAGATAGATGCACAAAATTTCATAAAATGTGTGACGTCATCATGACGTCATCAAAAACGTGATTTTGTGATTCACATATAAGGGAATGTCTGATCGTTCTGAAACTTGGTGGGTAGGAAGGTATAGATAAAGGCATTCGTATTCTGAAGTGACGTCATCATGACGTCATCGTCTGATTTTTTTATGAAATTTTCAAATTTCAATATTTTCTTCAAATTTTGCAAAGATTATATAAAATACGGTCAGATCGACTCCGAAACAGCTATGTGATTGTTCACAATCAGAGGTCTAGTTTTTTTTTCTTCTCCTTTTTCAGACTTTTTCTCCATAGGTTTAACACACCTTTCTTCTACCAATCCACTTTGCCACTTTTTTAAATCCAATTGATTTCAGACTTGGTACATACTTAGACCACCACCCACAGATGGTCCTAGAAGAAATTTGTGATCGTGACGTCATCAGGTGTCAGGTTACGTCACATTAAAGATGCATATTTGCCCATATGTTTTGTACACGTTTTAAAACACTCCAGTTTGGCATCTTCGTACATCCGATCGACTTTAAACTTAATTCATACCTAGACCACCACCCACAGATGGTCCTAGACGAAATTCGTGATCGTGACGTCATCAAGAGTCAGGTTACGTCACATTAAAGATGCATTTTTCCCCATAGGGTTTGTACATGTATTAAAACGCTCCATTTCGGCACTTTCGTAAATCCGATCGACGTTACACTTGGTACACACTTAGACCATCACCCACAAATAGTCCTTGAAGAAATTCGTGATTGTGACGTCATCAGGTGTCACGTTACTTCACATTAAAGATGCACATTTTCCCCATAGGTTTTGTACACGTTTTAAAACGCTTCACTTTTTGGCACTTTCGTAAATCCGATCGACTTTATACTTGGTACACACTTAGACCACCACCCACAGATGGTCCAAGAAGAAATTTGTGATCGTGGCATCATCAGGTGTTGGGTTACTTCACATTAAAGATGCACATTTTCCCCATAGGTTTTGTACACGTTTTTCTTCAAACCATAGGGCAGAGTTGTAATGACTCGAGTCAATGACTCGACTCGAGTCCGACTCGAGTCACATTTTTTGGCGACTCGACTCGACTCGAGTCCCGACGGGTAAATGACTCGACTCGACTCGAGTCACTGCGAGCAAATGACTCGACTCGACTCGAGTCCCTCATCAGAATGACTCGACTCGACTCGAGGAAGGCTAATAAGACTCGAGTCCCAAAATAAAAGCATAACTTAATTGCGAAAAATATTTGCAATGACTTACGCTGCGCCGTTCGCGTTGCCAGTTTTTGTTCACGTCACGTTAATGTTCGCGAATAATGTACGTTTATATACAGCGGCAGTCTGTTTCCTTCCTCCATAATGAAACAACAAACATACACCGTGTCGCGGACTCCCACCTTGTGGTTCTATAGCATGTAATGCTAAACCCGGAACCAGACTTAAAACGCATTTCTCACTCCGTGGTTTCATCATTGGTTTCGGGCGATTTTGAAGTTCTTGGTGGAACGCTGGCTAAATTCATGTCCCGATTTCACACAAAAAAATGGATACGGACGGGCCCACCTTTAAATAATCAGAAACAGTTTTGTATAATGCAATTAGGTTTTAACATTGTCAGCGATCAGCGTCTAACAAAATCTAGACCCGAAGCCAAACCAGTTATAAGACTGAAGTTTCACATCTTCTTATCTGTGACGTGGCTAGCAATGGAAACTGTTGGTTGGGTACCATACAGCATACTTCATGTCTTTGGATTTCCGTAATAGACTGGTGCCTTGTATTCTTTCTCTCTTGTGTTTGTTGCTTTTTATTGTAATTTTGTGTTCAAATATTTGTGACTCGAATTGACTCGAGCTAAATACTTGACTCGACTCGACTCGACTCGACCACACTCTGTGACTCGACTCGACTCGACTCGACCTTGTTGACCTAATGACTCGACTCGACTCGAGTCACTTCTTTAAAATGACTCGACTCGACTCGAGTCACAAAAATCAGTGACTCGTTACAACTCTGCCATAGGGTTTGTACATGTATTAAAACGCTCCATTTTCGGCACTTTCGTAAATTTGATCGACTTTATACTTGGTACACACTTAGACCACTACCCATAGATGGTCCTAGAAGAAATTCGTCATCGTGGCGTCATGAGGTGTCAGGTTACATCACATTAAAGATGCATTGTCTCCCTATTGGTTTTGTACACGTTTTTCTTCAAACTGAACTTCGGAAGTACAAGTCTGATTGGGTTAAAAATTGGTATGCATATTCACATGGATGTGTTATAGATGGAAATTGAAGTGACATCATCATCAAATGTCATGTGAAGTCCCTTAAAGGGGCATTCTATTCTTTTATAGGTCTATATCTACAGAACTAAAATGTTCGATTTGGTTGTAACTTGACATGTTATCATGTGCTGTTATAGATGACATTTATAGCGATGTCACTGATTGTACATCCCGTGCTCAGAGTATTTCAAATATCCGAAACAGCTTGTGTTTGTCCACAAACACATTTCTAGTTTTTTTTTTTTACCTTTTTTTTTTGGGGGGGGGCTTCAAATGTTGGCTGATGACTGCAAATGGTGCCCGACTAAACTTAGTGCAAATATATGGGAGTCCAGAGAGGCCACATAAAGCTTATTCTCGATCAAAACCCCATCTAAAAACACGTTAAAATTGTGCAGCAGCAGGATTCCAGTCAAACCAGTGAGTTTGGCGGTTTTGAGACATCATCTTGTATTGAAAAAAAAACTTTTTCATTTTGCCGACGCGCATGGCTACGGCGACGCGTGCGCATACCAGAAACCGGAGACTTTTTTTTTTTGGCCTAAACATACCAAGACATTTCATGACTATAAGTCAAAGGGTTTTGGAATCATGGCTAATTGATTAATCATATGCACCAGTGGTAATTCTGCTTTGTGTACACTACGTATTAGGGGAAATTCAGTTTTCACTGGAAAATTTATGCTTGTGGTATCAAAAGATGCGCAAGACTCGAGGCTAAAAAAGTAAGGCTATCGTGGAATAAGATTGGAGGGGGGGGGGGTGGCGGATTCCTCCCCGGCCCTCTTACTAGTTTTAGGGTTAAAACGTATGGCCGAATGGTTTACAATTTCTTCATGTGTTGTTTTCCAAACTTACTCGGGCAGTGCCTCTTATCGTTGCACCACTGCACCTCTCTGCTCTCTCCGACGCACGGGTTCCCCTCAAATTGTGGGCTGGGCGAATCGCACTCACGAAACCTGGCCATTGTGTCACCGCAGGTGGCGCTACACTCACTCCACAGAGACCACTCGCCCCATTGACCGTGCACTGGAAATGGAAGAAAAATGGGGCTGTCAAAAAATGCTCGCTTTTATCATAATCGACATTGTAAAAAGTAGACCCCATACATTCTCACGTAGTTTCTTTTCAGGCCAACAATTTAATATGTGAGTTGTGACTTTTTATCCGTGATAACATTTTGAGCCGTGCGTGTGACGATTTCGTAACTGAATGGGTGTGGACTCCTAAATACCCCGCGCCCTAAGCGTTGAAAATGCGATAACTTGCTATATGAGACACTTGTGCAATAATTCAAAAATGAAAATACTCATACAATTAATAATAAAGAAGAATAAAAGACTGGTTCCTGTTCCTTCTTTCCATATCTATAGCGTAATATGAAGACACTGGAAACCAGTCTTTTTATTCTCTCTCAGCAAACCACCCATTCAGTTCCGGTATGAATTCGCAAAATGTAAACGGTTGAAGAGCGTGCGTGAACCAGAACTTTTCGCAAGTGCAAAGTCTTGGCTTGCACTTGAAGAAGAACAAAGTACTTTTCGGAAATTCGGACAATCATTTTAGGCGCAATTTCGTGTATAACACACACACACACACAACCTAAAGGTTTTTTTATGAATCCCTTTGGTGTTTATCTTCATTTTGCCGTAAATACAAGTCAACCTAACCCGAAAATGCCTCTAAACCTGTTTTCCAGAGAGGGGGAAACATTGTGTGGACGTGGGCAAGTCCACACAACGTCGCTGCTACCTGTTTGATGTAAACATCACTTGCTCGGAAGTCCACAAAGTGAATGTAATGCTTGAACACATGTTTTACTATACTCATGAGAACCTGATCCTTTCCTTCTTTTGTTCCCTTTTGTTTGTACTCTTACTCTTTCTCGACAGCTCCCATAAGGTTTGTACACGAAATTCTCCAGGGCCAGGGCTCAGGTCCTCGGGCCCATTGAAATCGCACACACCCCACTGTCCCAAGTCCTGGATAACCAACCCACACATAACAAGGGAAACTTGTACCTCAGTTGTCTTTTGTTTAATCAAAAGGGACTCTGAGACATTTGAGTGATCTTACTGGAGGCGCACATGCGCAGTTGGAATCCCAAAACTTCTATTGCATGCAACTGCGCATGTGTCACAGGCACGAGGGCAAGCTAATCAACAATGAGAGATACAGTACAACGTTCAGTTGTAAAATCACAGCAACAGGTCCAATTCTTTACCGGGGCATATAATGCCAGCGTTGCAGTCTCGATGCTCAACTCTGTCCCCTGAACACTGAAAGTTGTCGTCGGGATTATCGGGGGAGGGTCTACAAACTCGCCTTCTCTCTTCAAATCCCGCACCGCACGTGACAGAACATGGCTGCCCGTCACGCCACCTTCCCCATACGCCTTCAACTGTTAAAACCATTAAAATGAAATGAACAACGCTTAAACATAAAGATATCATGCTTTGTATTACATTACGCTTTCTACTGGGAGCTTGGTGGTTCTTGTCCCCACTTTGCTCCAGTTTGAAAGCGCACATGAAAACAAAACGTGACGTCTGAAATTGCAGTAACATTGAGGTTTCTGCCTGAAATGACATCACACTTTTGCTCATGAATATGGAAATATACATTAGCATCAAACCCCCCCCCAAAAAAAGGCACCGCCCCCTTCAGATCTTGGCCATCGAGTGACGAAAAATTACGAAACTCGGTACATGCATGAATCAACTAAATATAAACATACCAAGACATTTCATGACTATAAGTCAAAAGGTTTTGGAATTATGGCTAATTAATTATTCATATGCACCAGTGGTAATTCTGCTTTGTGTACACTACGTATTTGGGGAAATTCAGTTTTCACTGGAAAATGTATGCTTGTGGTATCAAAAGATGCGCAAGACCCGAGGCTAAAAAAGTGAGGACAAAATTTTGCAAGGGTATCGTGGAATAAGTTTGGAGGGGGGGGGGGGGGTTGGCGGATTCCTCCCCGGCCCTCTTACTAGTTTTAGGGTTAAAACGTATGGCCGAATGGTTTACAATTTCTTCATGTGTTGTTTTCCAAACTTACTCGGGCAGTGCCTCTTATCGTTGCACCACTGCACCTCTCTGCTCTCTCCGACGCACGGGTTCCCCCCAAATTGTGGGCGGGGCGAATCGCACTCACGAAACCTGGCCATTGTGTCACCGCAGGTGGCGCTACACTCACTCCACAGAGACCACTCGCCCCATTGACCGTGCACTGGAAATGGAAGGAAAATGGGGCTGTCAAAAAATGCTCGCTTTTATCATAATCGACACTGTAAAAAGTAGACCCCATACATTCTCACGTAGTTTCTTTTCAGGCCAACAATTTAATATGTGAGTTGTGACTTTTTATCCGTGATAACATTTTGAGCCGTGCGTGTGACGATTTCGTAACTGAATGGGTGTGGACTCGTAAATACCCCGCGCCCTCAGCGTTGAAAATGCGATAACTTGCTATATGAGACACTTGTGCAATAATTCAAAAATGAAAATACTCATACAATAAATAATAAAGAAGAATAAAAGACTGGTTCCTGTTCCTTCTTTCCATATCTATAGCGTAATATGAAGACACTGGAAACCAGTCTTTTTTATTCTCTCTCAGCAAACCACCCATTCAGTTCCGGTAAGAATTCGCAAAATGTAAACGGTTGAAGAGCGTGCGTGAACCAGAACTCTTCGCAAGTGCAAAGTCTTGGCTTGCACTTGAAGAAGAACAAAGGACTTTTCGGAAGTTCGGACAATCATTTTAGGAGCAATTTCGTGTATAACACACACACAGACACATGCACGTTACATACCTAGTGTGGACATTCTTTTGTTTTCGTGTAGTTAAGAAAAACCTGTGAAAAAAACTCATTTTACTCACACTGAGAAAACTCTTTCAACCCAATTTTTTTTTTTATGAATCCCTTTGGTGTTTCTCTTCATTTTGCCGCAAATACAAGTAAACCTAACCCGAAAATGGGGAGTGTGTGGCCTAGTGGTAAGGGTTCGTGATCAGAGGGTCCGGGGTTCAAATCCAGCCGCTGGCCATATATTGTGTCCTTGGGCAAGGCACTTCACCCCCACTTGCCCCTCTCCACCCAGGAGTATAAATAGGTACTGGCATTAGCTGGGGAGTAACCTGCGATGGACTGGCATCCCATTCCGGGGGAGTAGAAATATTCTCAGTCGTTTCATGCCAAGGAAACCGGAGATAAACACCGGCCTGATGAACCGCGACAGACTTTACTTTTTTAACCCGAAAATGCCTCTAAACCTGTTTTTTTCCAGAGAGGGGGAAACATTGTGTGGACGTGGGCAAGTCCACACAACGTCGCTGCTACCTGTTTGATGTAAACATAATTTGCTCGGAAGTCCACAAAGTGAATGTAATGCTTGAACACATGTTTTACTATACTCATGAGAGCCTGATCCTTTCCTTCGTTTGTTCCCTTTTGTTTGTACTCTTACTTTTTCTCGACAGCTCCCATAAGGTTTGTACACGAAATTCTCCAGGGCCAGGGCCCAGGTCCTCGGTCCCATTGAAATCGCACACACCCCACTGTCCCAAGTCCTGGATAACCAACCCACACATAACAAGGGAAACTTGTACCTCAGTTGTCTTTTGTTTAATCAAAAGGGACTCTGAGACATTTGAGTGATCTTACTGGAGGCGCACATGCGCAGTTGGAATCCCTAAACTTCTATTGCATGCAACTGCGCATGTGTCACAGACACGAGGGCAAGCTAATCAACAATGAGAGATACAGTACAACGTTCAGTTGTAAAATCACAGCAACAGGTCCAATTCTTTACCGGGGCATATAATGCCAGCGTTGCAGTCTCGATGCTCAACTCTGTCCCCTGAACACTGAAAGTTGTCGTCGGGATTATCGGGGGAGGGTCTACAAACTCGCCTTCTCTCTTCAAATCCCGCACCGCACGTGACAGAACATGGCTGCCCGTCACGCCACCTTCCCCATACGCCTTCAACTGTTAAAACCATTAAAATGAAATGAACAACACTTAAACATAAAGATATCATGCTTTGTATTACATTACGCTTTCTACTGGGAGCTTGGTGGTTCTTGTCCCCACTTTGCTCCAGTTTGAAAGCGCACATGCAAACAAAACGTGACGTCATTATGACGCAAATAAATTGCCAGATAAATTACTTTAAAATATTTCACTAAATATAACAACGAGGCTGAAACTATCTCAAGTCAAGGGCGGATCCAGAACACAATTTTTTTGGGGGGCCAAAAAAAAAATTTGTTCCCCAAAAAAGTGGGCCAAAAAAATTTTGGATTCTAGATGCTCTGTGGTGCCATCTGAGGCAATTTCTGACCACTTTAACCAATGTATTTTTGAGGAAAAGATGGTGGTGTACTCATTGCCTGCCTTTATTGCGATGTCACATAAAAAATATTACAAAAATTGGTTTCGTTTTGGGGGGGCCATGGCCCCCTTTGGCCCCCCCCCCTGGATCCGCCCTTGTCTCAAGTTCTATTCTAATTCTGGAAATCTCCATGGTTCTAAAAATCTATAGGCACTGCAGAAAACCACGACCCGTTTCACCCGTTCACCATAGATTTTCCACTGCACTCAGTCATGCTTCTTAACTAAAATAGAAAGCAATGTGAAACTGTAATCTGTTGTGCCCATAGATATCATGCTTTCAAGACTGGTTTCAAGTCAAATCTGATGACAGTTTTAAAGAGGGCTTATTTGAGATATGGCAGACAAAATTGAGGGCGCTGTTTGAGCTGGGTAAAGTCTTTGTATTTACCCAAACCAAATAGCGCCCTCGTACGTCCCGCCATATCTGTAATTACGCTCAGAGAAGTTTCTACCACCATTGTTAAGTTATGGCGTATAATTACTGTACAAAATTCCAATTATTTGCGGTTTAGAGGCGCAAAAGAAACTCAAAAATAAAGGCCTATTCAGAGGGTTAAAGACGCCCAAAAGGAAGCAAAGTAGAATGTTTTGTCGTTCAAATTAAACATACAAATTGAATATTCGTAGAGGAGACCAATAAATGGAATTTGTTGGAAGGCATTGACAGTACATTATTTAAGCGTTAAAGTTGGTACGGTATATACGTGCTTTTTTAAAATTTCGATTTTCTTTCCGAACGAAATTTAAAGGAATATAAATCATGTTACAAATAAATTTGCTTATTTGTATTTGTAGGCCTTAACACAGTTTTAAAAATTGGTTTTAAATGGCGAGCTCCAGTTCAGAAATTGCGCATTTTATTCAGAACGAATTAGGAGCGTCCCGCTCTTAATTCAGAAGTTGGAATTAATAACTGATTACTTGTCATGGACCGATTTTTTTTCGTGCGATGTCTCATTGCAAAGCTCATAACTAATGTTGTTCTAGAAAATGATCAATTCAATTTGAAAATCTATTTTTCAAGGTGCTACACCCAAAAAGCACGTTTAGTCGTATACACCAACTTTAAATGAAAACCTCCTGGATTCTTCATGGGTTTCTTCAAAAATTTAGCCACAGGTGCATAACATGGGTGAATTCGTTAACATTTGTGGATCATAAAGAAACGGCACAATATGCTGGATAAGGGAATACAGGCAAAAGGAAGGATCACGTACCCGAATTTTGGTCTTCCTCGTATTCAGCAACCTGCTGGACAACCTGCGGTGCCTGCACCTCCACTGGCCCCGGTACTTCACACGCCGCAACGCACCTCTTCCCGCTGATCTTTTTGGACCAACCCTCGGCGCCCAGCAGGCAGCACGCCTCTCTCGTGGCCACGGGGGCACCGTCGGGGCCCGGTAACCTCTCCACCAGTTGCTGGCACTTACCCCGTGAGCCGCGCGGGTCACGATACCGGAAACAGTAACCGTCTTGTGCTAATTATGTCAGAGAAGATTTTTGAAAAACAAAAATGGTTTATCGTCAGAAAATATGCTGTAATATATTGAAGAGTACATGTATATGGTTGAATATCCATTGCTTAATCTATTTCACTCGAAATAAATAATCGGCTAAATCTGTTGAGAATTGAAATTATTATTATTATCCATCTCTTATATGATGAAGAATCGACTTCGACTGAAGTGTTTCCGTTTCAAAGTATTTCAATTTAAACTTACGATTGTTTTCACTCTAAACAGTCCAAGTCCCTAGTTTCACTACCTAAAAATTGGAGATAACTCTAAATAATGCGAAATCTAATTGTTAGTTGTCCTTACAGTTTTAGACCCACAAACAGTTTTTGAAATCTTTAAAAACGAACACCCCCCAAAAGCAGTCAATTTAACGATTAATGTCTTAAAGTTTGTTAGAAATGTGATTTATTTCAACAGCAAAATAGAGTTTAAACTTTGAACCTGATTTTGATTTTCTCAAAATATTTCAGCATCAACTCAATGATATTCAAGTTATAGACAAACCAGATATGCTGCACCAATCACAGTAAATTTAGATATACATGTACATGTAGCTGAAACATGTGCGATTTTTGTAAAGGACTGTGGGGTCAGTGAGGATGAAATGTGGGTATTGTCTGGAATGACACGGATCAGGATTTCCTTAAACATGACGATATCCTTATTATTTGGAAACACAACAACCTACCATCGGTTAAAAAAACCCGATATCCAACGATTGTGAAAGATTTCTCCCTGACCCTGTATAAACACAGCCAGAGCTCTTTGACCTGACAACATTTTGACATGATTTAAAGGTATAGTGTATAGTCCATCATTTGTAATTTGAGCATTTTGTTCGTTTGAAGCAACAAAATTGTCAAAATCTAATATATAATGAAGGGTGCTGAACAACTAATCTGATGAAGTTTCAACTCAGCTTCAGCTGTATATTTCGAGAAAAACAACATTCTATGATCTCGATTTCAAATCAAAAGTTGCTGAATCATGTTTTGAATTGGGCCCGAATTCAGCGTCCGAGATACGTTCTCAATGAGCCGATTGCAGCTACGCGATATAGCAACCCCGCGCATGTGGGTCGTGTCAACGCTTATGCGCGCTTCGCCGAATAAAAAAAAACGAACTGCTAACGGAAAATTCCACCGTTGGAAAGGCCTTCTTTCGTCGATTTCTTCAAAATGACAGCTTGCCAGAAAGACTAATTTCACAGGGAGTTTAGTCCCCTTACTATCTTTCAACCAAGTATGTTTTGCAACAATAATTACGCCAGTTACTTTTTGGATAGCTGCAAATGATGGACTCTGGCATTAAGGAGGAATAGGGCCTACACAAAATTGCAAGAGCACCGAAGTTTTCCTATGTATTCCGGTTCATGCGCCAACGCGCTAACCAGTGCGTGAAACGGAACAAAGATGAGATAACACTTCCAGTACGCTAACAGACCCATCCCCAACCTCGTTCCCCATGGGTACGATCTCGCTGCGCCATGTTGTTTCCCGTCATGACTCGCGCGATCTTAACCCCTGGAATTGTCAGCATCGTTTACGTGTACATCACGGCCAGGGGTTAGTGTAAGGAATGCGTCCGTGGAGTCGAGGCTGGCCGATCCCAACCTTGTCCCCAGTGCTTACTTTATTTCCAACCTCGTTTCCAATAGTACGCCCTGGATAGGAAACTTTCTTCCTGTATCCTGATTCGATATTACAACTTGCTAGTAATGGATTTTTATCGTGTAGTTGTAATTTCCAACGCGCATTACGTGTTTTCACGATTATTGTAATTATAATGTCCACGCATTCTCAATTATACTCCTTTTCTTTTCAGTTTGCTCATATTAATATGAAATGTGATACTGCATATTGGCATATTGAGTATTTTCACTTCCCCAAAAAACCCATTTTTATAACTCACGGTGCGACGAATAGATGCTGTTTTACCCCAGACACCGCATACAAAAACAAAAGCTAATGTAACGTACATGCAGGCACCAGACTATTTCTCATTTGCATACATGTTCAAAAATCTTGCACTTGCAAATGATCCAATACCAGGGTGAGAGAGCAGGTAGTGGTGGGCGCGTACTGCTCGACACCCTGGGACTCGACACCCACCGGGTGATCTGACCAATCATAGCCGTGATTTATGTCGGACATGCGTTCACGCCCGCATGACGCTCCCGGCTGGAAGATGACGTATGAGCACGTGAGGGGGGGGGGGGCATATTACTTGATCGGCCTATTCTTTCCTTCTCAATCTTTGAGTCAACAAAGTGTAATGAACTTGTAATCTGCGCACGGAATCCTCTAGAACAAAAGTGGAGCTGAAATTCAATAAGTTAAAAAAAAATTAGGATTGTGGATAAAATTATGTTCTGACGTTTTCATTCTCAGTGTTATTGATTGGCCATTGCACGTTCGCCGTCATAATACTGCATTATTATGCATATTAAATCCGCGCACGCGCGCAAACCGAACCAGGGTCCACCAACTTCATACGGAGTGCCGTGCTCAAAATTCCGCGCTCGTACCTCATTTTAATATGATAGATTTTCGTTTTGACAATGCTACTGTCTAGAGATGAACACTACGAAAACCTACGGTCTTCTAGTAAAACAAATTGATAATGAATGAAAACACCAAATCTTGTTTGAAACCCAGCGTGTGAATGGATGTGTTACGCATCACTATGTAACAGCTGAACCAACAAGGAACTTCCTTGCAGGATCCTTGCTTAGGAATAAATTAGGAAATACGTATTGATTTGGCATGTGGTCCAAATAGCATAGTGCCAAGTCGATCATGAAAGGGTCAATGCAAAAGAAACATGTTTTTTTATGGATCTTTTAATCACACCCTTTTGTATTATTCACCATTCATAAATACCTCAGACAGTTTAGCCATTCCTATTGGTCGAGAGCCAGTCACGTGGCCGGTATTAAACGGACGATAAAGACATGGCTAGCTGGTCTTAAACACTTTTCCAGTGTCACAACAAAATGTGGACTCCTAAAAATCCAGTGCCTCTTAACGTTTCATTGGTTGAACGTTCACAATCCTCACGTAGGCATGCGCAACACTACAAGCGAGACAGAATTTTATAGTTCTAAATTCAAAACGCAACGCCCCAGGTGCGTTCTGCGTGACATCGCGCAGAACATGCTACGCGCGCGTCAATCTCCATAAAAGGGTTGTTTACATCTTACTCGCCAGCTGGACACTCCATTATTTTGCTAGAGGGATGTTTCAAAAAGCATGAAGTGAACTTGTTGAACAAAATCGGGATTTTTTGAACGAATTATTTGATATTTTTTTACGAATAAGGTATTTATGAATGGGAATAAATATGTGCTCGGTCGGTATTTATCACTCTGTTTAATACCGCTTAGAGTCTGGGTGCTGATAATTACCCTCGCCTCCGGCTCGGGTAATTATCAGCACCCAGACTCTAAGCGGTATTAAACAGAGGGATAAAAACCTCTCGAGCACACATTTATTCCCTTATTAGTTCTAGTCTTTATTTAGTGTTTCTTTGTATGCCGATTTCTATCATGAAAAAATCATACATGCATTTTCACTGTATTCTCTAACAGTGGGCTATTAGTTTAACATCAAACTCTCAACCGTGCCGTATTGAAGTCGAAAAAAAGAGCAAAACACTGGGTTGAAAGAACCAGTCAGGATCGTAAAGCCCGGTTCATACTTCATGCGAAAGCATGTGCGAAGCGAAATTCATGTCGTCAACAATGGTGGACGCGCTTCGAATGTATTGTTGACGTCACGTATTTCGCTTCGCTTTCGCTCTCGCGTGAAGTATGAACCGGGCTTAAGGCGGTCACTGTGGAGTATTAAAGGTACTGTCTGTGACAGTCGTATACGCCTAAGTCGGCCACAATGGCGTAAACCAGATAATCCGTAAATGCATGTCAGCAATAATACCCAAACGCTGACGATTTACGCAACATTTCCTTAAGCACCAAGTTATCTTGTTCCTTAAATTAAAGCGTCCAATAATTCGATCCTACAACCTGGTTATTCTAGCTGCACGAAAAGTTCCGTTTTGTGAGGGCTCCGATTTTCAACGGAAATTTACGGAAGCATAAAGTGACCATTTGAGTGCCCTTGACAAAATTTAAAGAAAAAAAACCACCCAAATTGATCCTCACTCTTCACTCTTTGCTACAAGAGGGTAGACCAAATAATGTGATCTTTATCCAACTGGAGTTTTGAATCTTCAGGCCCACCGAAATATAAAAACAAATGTTGCTTCGTGTTCTGCTTTTACGATGTTACAATATACAACTTCGACTTACCGGTGTCTGCCAACTTGCCGCACACAATCAGGCAAGCCACCACGGTGGCCACAAACCGAGTCATGTTTTAGTTCTGTACGGACTGAAGTTGATCACCTAACTAATGCTGTACTACTACTAGCACGGGTGCCAATTAAACACTACAGCTCTGCCGGATTTTGGTGGTGCTTCTATACCAGGAAGTCATGCAAGTGTTTGATAATTAGTGGTAGGATTCTGATTTGGTAGCGATTGTGACGTGTACTTGCGTTTTACGCGCCAGAGTACGAGAGTTCAAGGAAAGAATGGAATTATGATGGTGCTCGACCCTACAGTGTTTTTTTTTTCTCAAGTCATTGGTGCTTAAATTAATAAGGGTGAATGCTCACCATTTTCCCTGGCCGTGTGAGTGTTCCAGATTTTTTTTTCAGACGATTAAGGCATAAGCTCATATTTCAGGCGTTTCAATTGGCCGCTTGTTTGGACTGGTACCTTTGGCGCCACTGCAAGGACGGGGCTAAAACAATTTTGGTCTCTCAAAAACTTGGTCCAAAAATAACGGCGTGGGGTTCGGGCCCCTTTTAAGGGCTCTGATTTTTTGGAGATTCTAGATGCTCTGTGGTGCGATCTGAGGCAATTTCTGACCATTTCAACCTTTTTTTAAAGGAAAAGATGGCGGTGTTCGCAGTGCCAGCCTTTATTGTGACATCACTGGGTTCCCCCTTTTTATTGGGGGGGGGGGGGGCATGACCCCCATTGCCTCCTGGATCCGCCCTTGCGCCACTGACGTGTTCTCTGACGTTAAGGTGAGAAAACGACATACATGTACATGTACTCTTTATTTCCCCAAACCTCGGCCTCGTTCCAAGCCACGACTGGGAGATTGAAGGTCTAGTCCTGAGGCAACCTCGTCCCCAGGGTGTCAAGCAGGACGCGCCCACCACTTTCTGCTCTCTCACCATGGTATTGGATCATTTGCATGTGCAAGATTTTTGAACACGTAGAAAAATGAAGAGTAGTCTGGTGCCTGCCTGTGCGTTACATTAGCGTTTGTTTTTGTATGCGGTGCCTGGGGTAAAAACAGCATCAATTCGTGGCGCCGTGAGTTATGAAAACACGATTTTTTTTTGGAAGTTAAAATAATACAATCTGGCCCGCCAATCTGATATAAATCCATTGCGGTACCGAATCAAGAAACAGAAATACAGTTTCCTATCCAGGGCTTACTATTGGAAACGAGGTTGGAAATATAGTAAGCACTGGGGACGAGGTTGAGTCTTGAGGCACCCCTGCCTAATGTAGGTCCATGTTCTGCCTTCAAAAACATGACATCCTACGATATGAAGCCTGAGTATTTGGGGTGTGTTCAGTTGGTTTGAACCATAGAGCTATATTAAAGGGCCTATAGTCCATCATTTGTAATTTGTGCATTTTGTTCGTTTGAAGCAACAAACTGCTCAAAATCTAAAGAAGAATACTGGTCTCTTCTAGTGACTTAGTCACTGTCCATAGTTCACTGTTGTATAGAAATACAGATGCTATGAAGGCGCGGAATGTTTTGAGTTTCGTGTTGTTAGAGATTACATCACTGTTGAAGACATTCCTGAATTTGTTGAAAGATACCATCAAAAGTATTTTCCTCCTGGCAATATCTTGCCCAGTGTCGAGTAAAGATCCCAAGTATTTGCATTTCTTCCAACTGGTGTTGTTTCCGTTTCTACTGATGTGGTGTTTCTCTGTCTTAGACATGTTTACTGTGAGGTTTCGCTCTTTTAGTACCTCAGGTGCCTTCCTCTCCACAGTTGCTATCGGTTGGATATTGTTACTTGCCCAAGTGATGTCAAAACCCCATCTCAAAGTATACTGGTGGGCAAATAGCATAGCTGTGGTTCTCGAGTTCCACAGGAAGGGATTGGGACTGTGTCTGCGTGCAGTAACTGTGATCCTGAAGAGTGAATGGTGTCTCGGGTGTTTCCGGGCCAAGTTGTCTCAGTGCTTTTGCCAGGTATAGAGTGAAGAGAATGGGACTGAGGCAGTCTCCCCGAGGCACGCCGATGTTGGTTTTGAAGGGCTTTCCCAAGACAGTTCCCACTCTGACTTGTAATCGAACGTCTCTAAGCCAGTAAGTGGAGTTCGTCTTGCTCTGGTATCTCTTTGCGATCTTCAAAGAGAACACTACTCTCCTCACCGAGTCAAAAGCCTTTGACATGTCGAGCAGCAGTAGGTGAAGTTCATAGCTGTCGGCTGCGATGGCCTTCTCTGCTAAGATCTTTAAAGCTACAGGCCATCATTTGCAGCCATGCGAAAAGTAACTGGCCTAATTATTGTTGAAAAACATACTTGGTTGAAAGATAGTAAGGGGACTAAACTCCCTGTGAAATTATTCTTTCTACAGGTGAGCTGTCATTTTGAAGTAATCAGCGAAAGAAGGCCTTTCCAACGGTGCGTCTTAAGACGCACTGTAGGAAAATTTAAATTAGTAGTTCGTTTTGTTATTCGGCGAAGCGCCTGCAAGCATTGGCACGACGCACACGCGCGCTCGGTTGCTATAATTCGTCGGATCAGTGCGCGACATCGCGTATAGCTGAAATCGCCTCAGTGAGAACGCGTCTCGGACGCTGAATTCAGGCCCAATTCAAAACATGATTCAGCAACTTAAGTTTGAAATTGAGATCCTAGAATGCTGTTTTTCTCGGAATATACAGCTGAAGATGAGTTGAAACTTCATCAGGTTAGTTGTTCAGTATCCTTTATTAGATTTTGAACACTTTTGTTGCTTCAAACGAACAAAATGCACAAATTACAAATGATGGACTATATTTTTAAGGCAAAGACCTGCTCAGTGGTGCCTCTGCCGTGTCGATAGGCTGCTTGAGAAGCTGGTATGTGGTCGTCTAATCTGTCGGCGATTCTCTTCGTCAAACTGGCTATTACTAGAGTGCTAACTCCTCATTCTTGCGCGCGGAGACGCTTTGAAGCCGTTCTGGGAGCAGACATTTTTGAATTATGTGTGTGTTTGTAGAACACAATCAAAATAGATGGATTGAATTTTAAAAGTGTACTCTAAATTCAACGTGCAAGTAGAAGATACGCAAACAACTTAAGCGCGTCATGACGGCTCAAAAAAACGTCACAGCGAAAAGCATCTGCAGCGGAGGGACGCGCACACGCTGCGCTGTTTGCGTAGAGCAAAATGAAAAGCCCCAGCCTCGACTCCAGGGGCGTGTGCTCGTTCCTTACACTAACCCCTGGCTGTGATGATGACGTAAATGACGCTGAATGGCTATTCACAGCGTACTGCGCGGGCATTTCGAAGATTACACGCCGGGCGCGCCCATAATAGTATAGGCTGTTGTGTACTTTTGCATTTTTTTTTGCTAAAGAAGGAATTTTTGTCATTTTTGAATGGAGTTTACCTCTCTGAGCCAGAAATCCATTGGTAACATTTTTTTCCATCTACCGTGTGGCGGCCATCTTGGATTTCAAAATGGCCGCCATTTCGGACCTTATTTGTATCATAACTTCGGGCCTGATTGTCATATGAAGTCCATTTTGGTGGCAAACCCCATGTTTTTGATACCAAGGAACCCAAGTAAGTCATTGTCTATGGTGTACTCCATATGGATGGCGGCCATCTTGGATATTTCAAAATGGCCGCCAATTTGGACCTATTTTGCATAATAACTTTGGACTTGAATGCCGTATGAAATCCATTTTGGTAGCAACCCCCATGTTTTCGATACCAAGGAATCTAAATAAAACACTGTTGAAGAGGTGTCCCTCATGGATGGCAGCCATCTTGGATATTTGAAAAGAGCGACCATCTTGGATTTAATTTAAATAATACCATTGCAATCGAATGTCATATGAAGTTCGTTTTGGTGGCAAATCCCATGTTTTTTTATACCAAGGAACCCAAGTGAATCATTGTGGACGGGGTAGTCCTAATGGATAACAGCCATCTTGAATATTTAAAAATGGCCGCCATTTTGAACTTCTTTGCATGTAAAAGTTGGACCCGAATATCATATGAAGTCTATTTTAGCGGCAAACCCATAAATTTGATACCAAGGAATCTAAATAAAACATTGTTGATAAGGTCCGGTATCCCCAAAGATGGCAGCCATCTTAGATTTTTCAAAATAGCCACCATCTTGGACCTAATTTTCATGATAATTTGGACTAGCTCGAATGTCATATGAAGTCCATTTTGGTAGCAAACCCGTGTTTTTGACAAAATGCACAATAAATTAAAGCTCATGTAGTTGCAGTATTTCTTGGTGATCCTGAATGTCTTGCAATGAATGGATTAAGAGTAGTGTAAATATCGAATGCAATGAATTGAATTTTGCTAGAACATGTTAGATCCGTTACTCTTGTTAAAATCTTAAAAATTGTTCTCACATAACTGCGACATGCCATTCTGGAACTGAAGCCCGAACCCTAGCTTTCACCATCACTCTTCCCTCACAGTGTCTGGGTTTGTGTTGCACCAGTCCTCATCTGCTTCACATCTGCAGAGCTTTGTGCAGGCTAGCTTGTTCTGCTTACAAGTACATCGTCCCGTTGAGCAGTGACTAGCGCCACAGTTGCAATTTAGGAGTTCCACAACTGCCTCAGGTGCGAGGGGCTCTTTGGTAAGGACAGGCATGAGTCTACCATCACTCCTACTCCAGCCAAGTGTACAAGGGTCTGGTATTGTTGGATCCAAGATACTGTCCTGTGCCCAGAGACGAGCTTGCATGTGTGCTCTAAGAATGTGCTGTAGCCAAGCACCCGCCGTAGGGGGCAATCTGTTGACGCTTTGTTTTGCTGTGAGTTTACTGAATCTCTTCCATCTAAGTGTTGCTGGGTCTTGTGCAGAGACTTCCTTTGTACTTACAAGCATGCACAAATATTCTTCACAGCCTACAATGACATCAGGTGATGGTGTTTCATCCTGGCCAAGCTTTGAGAGAGCTGAAACAACATGTGATGGAGCTGACATCAGAGTGGCAAGAGCATTTTTCTTCCCAATGCCTCGGATTTTGCCAGTGGTGTCTGATCCGGTTATTGCATGAAAGCCTGGTAATGCTGCAGCTACTTGTGGACCAAGCTTATCATGTATAAGTTTGAGCTGTACCCGTCTGCGTTTTGCACTTGTACCTGTGAGAATTCCTGTGTTTGGACCCAGTTCAGTGAGTCTGCGCAATAAGAGAACCCACCAGTCAGTGTCCTGGGTGAAGAAGTCCACTTCATTGCTAGGATCTGCATGAACAATTTCAAGGGCATGCAGCATCATGAGGGTATCTGCCTCCTCGTGTGTACTCACACTGGTGGTTGCACAGTGTTCCGTGGAATTAGCCAGGACACTCTTCCGTGTTGCAGTTACAACGGGCTCCTTGCAGAATTGGACTAGCTTGTCAGCAAGAAACAATGTCAGCCCATCTTTTGTTTTCTTGCTGGCCAGGAATTTTGCAGCATCTCTGATTGGAGTGCTATCATCAACAATTAAATCTCTGCAAGAA